TGCAGTAAATACAATTTTTGTGAATAATCTTTTTGTTTTTTTATCTTAAAACCTAAACAATGATAATTAAACAGGGCTTGAAATTCGCAAACGCTTTTTATTGGGTTGTCCGGAAAATAATGCAGGATTTTGGTATTAAACAAAAAAAAAGAAACTAGTTACTTTAAAGCAATGTTCTTTAATCAAAATAATTTCCCATACNTATTTCCAAGTAGCGGAATGCTACAGAGGTAAACAAACAATATCATTTGGAAGAGGATTAATAAGTGTTGACATTCATACAAATGAGTAATACTGTAAACGTAAACAGAATATTTTATATAGATTTTTTTTAATGAAAACTTAAAATCCTGCATTATTTTCCGGACAACCCAATACTTCCAAAGTTGTTACTAAATGGGATTGCTAATTTCAACCCATTAAATGTAGTTCCAGAGGAATGATTGAAAGAGTCTTCAACTTTCAAAAAATTGATCAATAATTAAACAGAACAAAAATTGATTACCGGATATAGCAACTATCGGGCTTAAGAACCAAGTTCAGACGTTGTTCTTATGTTCTTATAAACGATTTTTACTGTACATTATTGCTATAAATATTTTAAAGACCGTCAAACTTTAAATTAAATCTCATTTAACCAAACAAAAATGAGAAAAACACATAAAAATATGATTTATGAAGCACTACAATTTGTGTGTAAACTCATGTTCATTAACTAACATAAATAAATCAATATTGACATTTCATCAACATGACGCAAAACCATATCAAACAGCGTTGAGATAGGAATTCAAATTTTATCTTTACTTTACAAATATTTGCTTCAAAAACCAATTGAGCCATGTTTCAACTGACGTTTTAATCTGATTTGATTTTTATAATGTCATGCAAACGTTTTTGATACAAAAAATCCCAATAGAATTTTTTTAATTCTAGGAAATTTGCTGTTTTGACAGTTTCATTCTGAGATTTTGCACATTTTAAAAAGATCGTTTTACTTGAGTAAGTTTTTTGGTAAAGAAAATGTTGGACAAGTTTTGTTTAACTGTTTTTTATTATCGTTGGTTAGTCAGAAGATTGTACCACCCCCAAATGTCAAGTGAATTAATGTCCTGCCCATACTGTATTTTATTATCATATTTTATACCCCTTTTACGGTGTTATTACACAAAAAAGTTTATATTAATTTAACAAAATTGCCCTGTTAAGAAATTTGAAACACAGACAAGGGAATATCACTTGTTTTGCTTTCTAGGTTGTTATTTCTTTTTCATACTTTTCTTTCTTCCACATTTTTTTTTAAATTAACGGGATCTATAACCTAATTAGAGAATTTGGTTTTTGCTTTTATTTATCTCCAGAGTTAATGTCTGCTGTCTGCAGTTTAAATCTCATGTTGTTTTTCTACAAATTTCTCTGAGTCAACTTGGCAGATAAATTTTCATGATATTTGCTAGTTTGATAGTTTTCTCGAAAAATAAAATAAAACATTTCTTTATGTTTACAGTATATTACAATTACATTCAATAAGATGGATCCAATGAGGGTATAAAATAAATTAATAAATAAGAGTGAAGAAATTACTCACTGTCAGCACTGCTATCAGCCCTAAGTGTTATCTATTTAGTCGAGGTTAGTTTCACTATTTGGAACCGAGTTCAAATGACAAAAAAATATTTCTTAATTCATACTTATATGGCTGTCGCATTCGCATCAAGAACTATACACAAATCGTCAAATTGTACAGGGCAAACGATGCCACGGTACTGAAGATCCTTCTGCTATCACCGAGGTCTATCAAATGTGCAGGTTTCCTTGGAGTGAGATCCGCTCAAAAGAAAGCTTTGCTAAGTACATCCTATGCAGAAGGAGCAGCCAGAAGAAATTACCTATGTACTTCAAGACCACTAGCCAACATATACCAGACAACAAGCCATCCCAATACGATCAACACCTTCAATGTCAGCGACGCTCATTTCTCTCAGGCCAATCGTCTCAACCATATCCATCTCATTCTGTTTACATCCATCTTTCTCCTTCCTCAGACCTAGTTCAGATGATGATTTCCTTCCAAACGAATTCCACTCACTTATCAGTCCCCTAGTCTCCTTACTCACCAGGTTAGAAGAGAAACTAGTCCCAATTCTATCACGAGCCATCCGGTGAACAACCCCTCTCATGATCCTCTCACCATCCTGCTTTGAAATGCAAATGGTCCGAACGCAATGAATCAGAAGTACTGCTACAAGACAAGAGAATATAACATACTTAGCAATACTTACGAAGACTCACTTGACTTAAAAATCAAACTTGTACAAAAAAATGAAACTGCAAGATATACCGAAACGACCGTGCACTGGACCATCGACCGCCATCTTGGTCCGTACCCTTACATATTTCCTAATTCCTAGCCAACCATAGCTATTCACAAAAATTGCCTCAACAAAAACAGAAAGATAATTTCTAAATTGTAAAACGTAACTGCTTTGCCATATGTGTACTCAAATTGTATACTCAAACTATACGCCCAACTCGATTTCGTACACGAATCAAATTATTAAACCAAATAAGATATAGATTATTAACAAATTTTGATAAAGTTAACGTAAGTTATCGCGATTCCTTAATTATATCCTCAATTAATTATAACATTTCGTTGCGCGTTAACCAACCCGCCATAATTGGTACATTGGCAACAATTTTATCGGAAGGACTAGATTAGTATACATATGTATTTGCAGGTATACATATGTATTTCGTCGACCCGAGGAGATCTGCTGAGCCTTTGATTTTTTACATGTTGATAATTTTTGTAAAAAAAAACTTATCAAAGCCCTTTTACACGAGCCAGTTTTGTTAAATAAAGTATAATATGGCCATTAAACCGCAATTTAAAGACGTTATTAATGCTTACAAAAACATTTTAAAATTTCTTTTTATATATTGATTAATCAAAGTCTCTTGCTTTCATGATTTCATGATTGTTTCTCTTTTAAATCAATTTATAAACGTCAGGCTGAATAAATTTCTGAAAATGATATGAAAACGTTTTGACGCTGATATATTCCCCCATTATTGAGTGATAATTCACCAGCTTGTACTGAATATATCACAGTCCATTATGACGATCTGGATTTATTAATGTTTATTTCATACTTTCACTTTATCCACGAAGATTTGAACCGAACTGTAAGAATTCCGAAAGGCTGGAAATATTCAAGGCATTCTGCGAATTGGCCCATCAACTTCGTATAAGCCGTTGAAGGCTTTCGTGTGCAACGGGCTAAATTTCCTCGCCACTGGATATTCTGATCATGGCAATCTGGTTTTTACAGTTATCACAGTGATTATGAGTTAAGATGACAAAAAATATTGTTTCTTAACATGTACAAAAATGAAATCACTTCAATATATTTTCATCCAACGCTCGAATAATTGTCTTTAAATGCTTTGACATTAGCAAATACAAAATGAAAAATATAAATTTAAGTACTTTCTCAAAGTTAGTATTGTATTACATAAAAAAGGAATAGAATAGAATAGAATATTTTATTGTATTTTAGCATTATATATATGCCTATACAAGGGATGCACATTTTGTTTTCTCACATATTTTTACATAAGTACAAAATTTTATCCATGTCAAAAATAACTACAGTAGAGTACCATATGTACAGTGCAACACAATTAACAATATACATAATTTTTAATTTAAAAAATAATTAATTATTATTATTTATTTATTATAATTATACAATTATATATTGATAAAGATACTTAACAACAACACAGAACATATTATGGACATATAAAGAACCTTTGGCAGACTGCATCATTCATCTAACACAAACGCTCTCAACTTCAATGTACCCAATATAAAATAAAATAAATCATTTATTTTTTCTTTATCCCAGCTTCCATTTAGTAACCATATTAATTTTTC